TTTTTTTTTCTTGAAATGCATTCTCTTTATTATTGGTCACTAAAGCCAGTTCTTTTCTTCAGTTCTACCAAAGTACTTCAAAATGCTCAGACCAGCACGTAAATCATGATAGCTGAATTAGCAGATCCCCCTAAATTCATCATCCACCTCAGACTCTCTTAGGGTTGAGCCTTTTCAAGCTGGCTCATAATGCCACACTTTCATTTTATTTATGCCCAAATAACCTCTTTGGTTTTTTTTCCCTCAAGTGTCTTGTACTTGAAATGCATTCTCTTTATTATTGGTCACTAAAGCCAGTTCTTTTCTTCAGTTCTACCAAAGTAACTCAAAATGCTTAGACCAGCACGTAAATCATGATAGCTGAATTAGCAGAGTCATGGTACTGCAAGTGAGGCTAAAACTGACCCTGCAAAAAAGGAGCCTTTTGACCCAGATCAGTCTGCTGAGCTATTTYATGTATTTTATTTACTATTTTTATATATTTTATTTACTTCACAACCAGTTGTACCAGCAGACAGAAACTCCCTAAGCTATTTTTGCCATGAAGTCTGTCCTTAAAAAGGGTTTTTAGGGCAAGATGCTCTAAGAGCCTCCCAGAAAGGCTTTAGCAGAGGCCAAAGATCATTGCTGGGTACACAACACCCAGGGTTTGTGGGGARTTGAATGGACTCTGCAAGATCTGTGCTTTGTCATTTCTTTGCCAATTCCTTCAGTTTGCTTTTTTTTTCCAAAAAAAGGGGTCAGTGAAAGACCAGCTGAAGGCCTACGGAGCCCTGACGGAAAAYGTCACCCGAAAATACACCCGGCAGATCCTGGAGGGTGTCTCGTACCTTCACAGCAACATGATTGTGCACAGGGACATAAAGGGTGAGATCTGTGGGAAAAGGGAAAAAAAAAAAACTCTCCCCACACATAAATGTGCTTGATTTGAGAGCAGAAATATTTCATGTGGGCACGTACCAGATAATGGCAGCAATGGGGTTCTTGAGGAGGAAGAATTGGTTTTGGTGCCTAGACCTCAGTTTGTGTCCACATCAAAGCTGAGCTCTAAAGTTTGCTTTTTCCCTGGTGCTTCGTGTTCAGGACCTCTGACCAAGTGAAGTGGAGATTGACTTGTTTATTGTAGGAGTTCAAAGTGGTTTAATTAGCTACATCTGTTACCCAGCTGAGCACAAAGCAGCATCCCAATAAAAAAATAAAAAAAAATTCTCTAAAATCAGTTCAGTTCTCTCTCAGCCCTTGGCCTGGGGGCCCTGCTACGCTGTTTACAGGCACTGTAACAATGCTGGTGCTGACTCAGCTCTCATTTCCCTTCCCCCTTCACTTCCTTGTGTTTTTCCCTGAAGTTTTTCCCATTTACAGCCATTAGCAATTGGCTCATCCACAACCTGAATTAAAGAAATGATGTTTAGCAGGTCACCTGAGGCTTRATGGGGAAAGAGCCATACCATGAGCACTATTTGGGCTTGGATATCATTCCAACAGCTGGATCRCATGAAAACAGCTGTCTTGGGTTTTTCTTTCTGTCCAGGTGCCAACATCCTCCGTGACTCTGCTGGGAATGTGAAGCTTGGGGACTTTGGGGCCAGCAAAAGGCTGCAGACAATCTGCATGTCTGGGACAGGAATCCGCTCGGTCACGGGCACCCCGTACTGGATGAGCCCTGAGGTGATCAGCGGGGAAGGCTACGGCAGGAAAGCRGATGTTTGGTGAGCCCTGAACCCACAGATCACAGCTTTCCTGGAGCCAGATCACACACACACACCTTCTGTCACCTCAATATCCAAATTCACCTCTTGTTCCTCGATCAAAAGTTTAAGGAAAAGCCGCTGATTGGAGCTCAAGGAATGATCTTCTGCAGGCTGCGCTTTGCAGTGTTAGCGCCTAACTCCTCATTTCATTTTGCAGGGGTAGTTCTAGTTTTGCAGGAGGAGTTTTAGTTTTTCAGGAGCAGTTTTTCAGTTGTTTTAGTTTTTCAAGAGTAGTTTAGTTTTTTGGGAGTAGTTTTAATTTTTCAGGAGCAGTTTTAGCTTTTCAGGAGCAGTTATTCAGGAGTAGTTTTAGTTTTTCAAGAATAGTTTCAGTTTTTCAGGAGCAGTTTTCATTTTTCAGGAGGCATTTCAGTTTTTCAGGAGTTAGTTTTTTGGGAGGAGTTTTAGTTTTTCAGGGGTAGTTTTAGCTTTTCAGGAGCAGTTTTTCGAGAGTAGTTTTAGTTTTGCAGGAGAAGTTTTAGTTTTTCAGGAGTAGTTTTAGTTTTGCAGGAGGAGTTTTAGTTTTTCAGGAGTAGTTTTAGTTTTTCAGGAGCAGTTTTAGTTTTTCGAGAGTAGTTTTAATTTTGCAGGAGGAGTTTTAGTTTTTCAGGAGTAGTTTTAGTTTTTCAGGAGCAGTTTTCGTTTTCAGGAGGAGTTTTAGTTTTGCAGGAGGAGTTTTAGTTTTGCAGGAGAAGTTTCAGTTTTGCAGGAGGAGTTTTAGTTTTTCAGGAGCAGTTTTTCAGGAGTAGTTTCAGTTTTCCAGTAGTTTTAGTTTTTTTGGTAGTAGTTTTAATTTTTCAGGAACAGTTTCCACTCATTCCTCCCTCTAACTGTTGATTTGCTTTCTGCCTGGTGCAATGTTTTCATACTCCTTACGCTCTCAGACACTTGGTGAATTCTTGGGRTGTCCTGTGCAGGGCCAGGAATTGGGATGATGATCCTTGTGGGTCCCTTCCAATTTAGGATTTTCTGTGGTTCTGTGATTTCCCTTAGAATGGCATTGAAGGCTGTTTAGGGGGAGCCCACTCATTCAGTTGTAAAATAAGAGTGATGCTTAAAATGTACTGGAAATGAATAGAATTTCAGCCTTAAAGAAAAGATGCCCAAACCTGGAATAACAGAAAAGATCCAGGTCAGATCAGAGATAATCTGCATGAATGGAAACTGTAGCTGTGCTATTATTGGCATAGCCAAGGAACAGCCTCTATCAAAAGAGCAAAATGGTCCTGTGCCAAAATGTTAATTTTGGAGGCCTTAAAAAGGTGTGATTATAAAACTTAAATAAACCACAGGGACAAAAGGTCTGGTTGTGCCTCCACAGTTAAGCAGGGCCTGTTTCCTGTACGAGCAGTGGGTGGAAACTCAGCAGAAACACATCTCCTCTGCAAAGAGTTAAATCCTGCAGACTCTCCCAGTTGGGATGGTGGGGAGAAATTGCAGCACGTGCCCTTCCCCCTGGGTTGGTGCAGTTGTGGATTTCCTCTTGGTGCTGACATTGGTCCATTCCCATCAAAGACTCGCTGCCCTTGGCTGGGTTCCAGTTCCTGCAATCCCAATCTTTATTTCAGGGGGTCAGAATTTTCCAGTGCAAGCACTGATCCCGGGGTGGATGCATTTCAGAGGCTCAGAAACGTAACCAATCCATCCACCTGGCCCTGTGCCACTGCTGCAGGCCCCTCTCCAGTTTTCCTTTTTTCCTAAATAGCAGAATATGTGAGCTATTTGTTATTGCTGGAGTGACTTGACATGAAAAACATTCCTGCTGTTTGCTGAATATCTTAAAGAAACCGGATCTGCTTAAACGGTATAAATCAGTCTAAACAATAATATATCCCTGCTTGCTTTTGAGCAACCCCCCAGCACTTCAGCACACATGGTTTGCATTTTCTGTACTCTCTTCTAGTAAGTCTGAAATGGCTGGAAAACTGTAAAATTTTCACGTTGGATTTTAAGCCTTGTTGAGAAATCAGTTCTTGCATACTCACTGTATTTAATTCCTCTCCTTCCTTGGCTTGGCAATTGATGCAAGTCTGCCTCTTGACATGTCTTTTCCTTGCTTTTCACCTCAAAAGRAGGTTTAGTTTTAAGGCAGAGGAGGCAGTTTTGCCTTTTTAATGGAAAGATGTGATAAAAACACAGGATTGCATATTAAAAAATCACTAATGGCTTTTTACTTAATTCATGGCCTGGAGGATGCAATTAATCCTTTTTGAACAAACCCCAATCAGTGCAGTGCTACAGAAATCATCTTCCCTGGGAAGGTATTGGAGTCACGTTGCCTCAGAATRGTGGCTCAGAATCACATCCTCACCCTCAAGTTGCCTGCAGAGCCCCATTAACTTTACAARGAATTTTTCCTTAAGGTAACGATGGATCTGTCCCCCTGGGATTTAATTTACTGCCTTCCCAGTTTGGAACCATTACAATTTTAATTATTTTTTGACTGATGCTTGGTTTCTTGTGGAGGTATTATTAAGTTGGTTTTTTTTCTCAACGTGGGCATTTTGAGGCTGTGACTTGAAAAAGGATTTTGCTGAAGTGTCTTTGTGGGGTCAACGAGCTCCGATTCACTGAGTTAAAAGTGTTAAAAAATCCGATTTTTTTTTCTACCTTGCARCTCAGCAAGTTGAGTTTGTGAGCTGAGGTGTTGTTGGGTGAATTCTCACATGTTTTTTTTTTTTGCTGTCTGCTTTTCCAGGAGCCTCGGCTGCACCGTGGTGGAAATGCTGACAGAGAAACCCCCCTGGGCAGAGTACGAAGCCATGGCAGCGATCTTCAAAATCGCCACRCAGCCCACCAACCCCCAGCTGCCCTCCCACATATCAGAACATTGCCGGGACTTCCTAAAGCAGATCTTTGTGGAAGCCAGGCACAGACCCTCTGCTGAAGAGCTGCTCAGACATCAGTTTGCACAGCTCCAGTACTGAATTACCTCCCTCGCTCGCAGCTCCTGCCGGGCTCTCCACGCCCTTGCCTGGTCTGGTTGCAACTGCCCAGTCGTGGTGCTGCATCTTTGAAATGCCAACTCAGCTAGGCCTAGTCCTTTGGGGAAGTTCTGCCAAGGAACTTAGGGTCTGCTCTCGTGCCTGATTCCTTTGCTTGCTGGACTGATGTTCATCCTGCCAACAGCTGTCCGAGCAGAGCTGCGTTTTTTGCCCCGAGTTACCTGGACGTGACATTGCAGCCGGCTGCGTGTTCTCTGCAGGCTGGGAATGGGAATCTTAACAAATATCTCACTGGTTGAACATAGGAGAAAYCTGAATCCAAGTGGGAGCAAGATAGAAATGTTCAGCAGCTCTGTCTGCAGCTCCAGAGGCATCTCCAGTCCCTGAATCCAGCACAAAGCCATGTGTCACGGAGCGCGCGCTCGCTACAGTATGGTATATTTTTCTTCTYGAGTATTCAGCATCTGAAGGTGTTCAGAAAATACTGATTCAAAAGTATGTGAATAGTGTTATTTTATAAATGAACCCGTGGATTTGGGGCTGGGGGTGAGGGGGGGGTGTCTTTCTAGAAAAATGTTCAGGATAATCAGACGAGTTTCAGCAGAATGCAATCACTCCGGGGCCTGAGGCTCTCCCGCTGACGTTGGAAAATCCAGAGCTCATTTTTCCAAGGTTCCTCCTGCATCTGTCTCTTTGGCTGGTAGCTTTTTACCATCCTTTAAACCAAAGATAGTCCATCTGGTGCCCAGGAATTTACTCCAGCGTTTCTTTGAGGTTTTCTTGGGGAGAATGACCTGGACACTCGCTGTGCACGGGAAGCTGCAATCAAGCTCAACCTTTCGCTGTGCGTCGTTCATTTTTTTTTACAGGCGTGCAAGAGGTCATTTCAGAGTGCCATAAAAATGTCATGGCCTAACTTCATCTTTTGTAGGAGTCCAAGTCAAACAGGGAGCCAGAGAAAATGTTTTAAGTKGTAGCAAATATCTAAAATTACCTGGAGATCCCCATGGAGGTACCAGCAAAATGTTTCCAAGTGATTGTACACTTGAAAGATCCCACAGGTCTGAGAACTTTGAGGTCCTGATGGCCTCAAATCCTCTGTGCTAATCATCTTTATTTCAGCAGTTTTTAAGTGCTGGGGATTCATGGAGTGATTATAAGTTATCTCTGAGTAATGAAACTAAGAAAAGCAATGTTAATTAACTAAAATATTGCTTTATAGGGCAACACTGAAGGTGTTCTGCTCTTGTATTGGAAACCATATCAAAGTTCCACACACCCCCACTCTTCTCCCCCATAAAAATTTGAAAATTGCTTCCTAATGCAGTAAAATTAAGTTTTTAAGTGAATGCTAATAGCAGGATAAGGCAAGTTTTTATGAAACAGAGCTCCTTGAACACATGAAAAATACTGTGTTGAATTAAAAGAGGGGAAAAAAAGAACCCTAAAAGCCCCAACCAACCAAAAGTCCTGAAAAGCTTTAACAATATGAAGTGTTTTTTCTGTGCCAAACCCAGAGCAAAGTCTAACCAGTAAAAGCTGGTGTTGGTTTCCTTTCCAGGCTCCCTGCACTACTCCAAGGATGCACTGTCCCAACCGTGGGCACTTAGGGGATCCCTTTTATGAAAAACCCTTATTCCATAATTTATTTAATTCTAGTGAGAGCACTTCTGTTGATCTTTTCCCAGCCTGGAACGTGACTCCAGATTGTCCAGACCCTTRGCCTGACCTCTGGCCTTGCACTTCATCATCACCGTGAGGGGAAGAGAGGGTGGGACGCTCCTGCTCAGATTTAGGGAACTTTTCACACCGCTCTGCAGGGAATGTGGGATCATCTGTGGGGTTGGTATGGCCAAAACAGCAGGGTCAGCACCTCTGGGGGGTTCAGCTCTTCAAGCCTTGCAGCCTAAATAAACCAAAGATGGGAGTTTTCACCCAGCACCGGCAGCGATGGGAGCGCGGTGACGCCTGCGGGGTTTTCATTCCCTCCATCCTCACCAAACCCAGACTTTCTCCCCTGCTCTTCCCTCACCATCCCAAATGTCGTGATCCAGCAGAGAGCAGGGCACGAGGGAATTCCTAATTAATTCCTAATTAATTAATTTCTAATAACGCCTCGAAGCAGCTCAACCCTCAGGACCCGCCGTGGCTTTTACCTCACCCACCATTCCGGGACTGGAAAAAAGGACTAAAAAAAAGGACTAAAAAAGGACTGCAGGGCTCGGTGCTGTCCCCAAATCCGTGCTGGGTGTGTGCCAGGGGCAAATCACAGCTCTAGAGTGACAGAGAACACGGGGCCAGCAGCCACGAGTTCGGCACAGGAACAAGCCAAAGCATTGCCTGTATGTTTGGAGATGCACTTTTATGAATGTAGTTTATATCGCTCTTTTTTAGCTCTTTTTACGTCATGTAAACGGTGATGCCTCATACTTTTTTTTTTTTTTTTTTTTTTTTTTTTTTTTTTTTTTTTTTTTTTTATTTCGTTAAAAGATCATATTTGGTTATTTTTATATATATCGACTGTTACGGGGTGGTTTGGGGGGAGGGAGGTGGGGAAATAAATTTGACGCCTTTATGAATTTAAAAAGGAAAAAAAAGCAGCTGGTTTTGCAGAGAAATTTGCTGATGGTTTATAACGAGTAGAGCCGAGCCAAAATGCCTCTTTGTTTCCTCACAGCCCTCTTGATTATGGAAAAGGAAGATCTGGATTCCTCAGTCCACTGCTCCCATGAATAASTCTGACATTGATACCACGGGCTTTTAGCAGCCCTGGCAGCARAAGAGTTTCAAGTGGACAGAAATGTAATTATACCTCAAAATTCAATTRTATCTGGCCTCTTTATCCTGGCAGACTTGGGAAAAAACTGGGAATAAACTCATTTAGGAGAGAGTGGAGGAGGAGTGCCAGGCTGACAATGASTTATTGTGTCCATTCCAAGTTGAGTTTCCTGCTGTTCTTTCCAGGCAGGGATATACTGGGAATATTGGGAATTGGGATCTCTGATGGAAGATGCTGCAGAAATGGAGAATATTCTGTTTGACAAAGAATTTCTTATCAGGGTCCCATTATCCTAAAACTAATCAGAAAAATGTTCGAGATACCCATTGGAGAGGAACTCGGGGGAATTTGGCTGTCCCTGAGGTGGTCAGGAAACAAAGTGGTGACATTTTGGTCTTGGTGTGACGATTCTGTGCATTCCAGGTTATTTGCCTGTTCTCCAGAAAATCCCATCTTTGCCCATTCTAGTGGCAGTTAAATTGCATCAGTTTGGATGGGTTTTTTGGGTTTTGATTTTGTTGGTTTGGTTTTTTTCCTTAATTTGGAATAATATTCCAAAGGACTTGAGCTGCTCCAAGGAAATCCCATTGCTACTAGTTACCAACACAGATTGACCAMGAGGAGCAGTTTAGAAAGGTAAAAAAGGATTTTATTGCCACCATAAATGATGCAAAGCAGGGAGAAAAGGCTTTAACCTGGATTGTGCAGAAGACCTTGACCCAGTAGTCTCTATTTACCGACCGGGGGCTTGCAGTGCAAAGCCAGGCCAATGTATCATTTTATTTACAATAAAATTATCATTTATATGAAAGCCTGTTTCAGTGGTTGTCCTTTTTAAAAAGCAAAAATTTGGAGAAGGAAAGCCTCTGGATTTGAGAGAARTGGAAGATACCACGAGCTCCCTTCCACTGGAGCAGAATTGGAGGAATCTGGATGGTCTTGCGTTGACCATGTCAGTTATTTGGGGCAAAAGAAGCTTTTCTGCCCCTGAGCAAGGCAAGAGAATGGGTAACCACATCTCCTTGTTCTTTCAGGCTTTATTTTTTTTTCCCACTTGCTGTGTTAGGAACAGAAGAAATAGCACTGCTATAAAATTATCTGTTCTTGCTAAAAGGCTGATTTTTTTCCTGTTCATGCAGCTTCTCTCCGGTGTCACTTTATTAGTGTTTGGGTGCCACTCTCTCCCTSAAGGAGCTGAAGTTTCACCCTTCCCTACCCCAGAATCATCTGGTTTTGTTCAAAAGCTGCTGAGGGATTGGGGAAGTGAGGCCAGCGAGAGGCAGGAAGCGGAACCGAGGGCTCTGCTTTCATTTTCTGAGCCCTCTGCGGAAGGAAGGGGCCAGAAAAGGGGCCCTGAGCCTGCAGCATCACGGCAGGGCTGCTCAGGGGTGGATTTTTGGGGTGTAAATGTGCCACCTGCACGTTGGTGTGAGGGAGATCAGCGTGGTGGGGACAATCAGAGCTCTTGGAGAGGCTGAAAGCTCGTAGGAGCCTCACCAGGGTTTGTGTGGTGGCTCTGAGTCCCCAGGCYCTCCCCACCCATGGAGAATTCCCTTCCAGGGTGGTCTGGGCTGCCTTKGGAAGCTGCTGGAAGCTTCCAGCTGGGCTGTGCCTCTTGTTGGGCAGCACCGGTGTGGAATTTCAATTCCTGGTTCGGTTCTCAAAGACTTGGGGGAGCCAAAGGGGGCTTCTGGTCAGAAACTGCACCGTGGTCACCTCTGCCCAGTCCTCCTGACCTGCAGGAGCACTCTCCAAAGAGGGGTGGGCTGCTTCTTTCCCTTCCATC